TCTATGGGGGGGGGGGAGGCTCTGCGACTTACCTGGCTGCTTCTTGCTTCTTGTGGCCTGGGGCTGCTGGGAGCAGGGGGCGGGGCTTGTTGCATGTGCCCGCCCCCTGGGCTCTTTACTGCCGGAGCTCCGCTCCTGTGCGCTCCTGCAGGAAACAACCCCTGGCAACTATCCAAACACATCCCTGTCATTTAAAAAACCAACAACAGAGGAAAACATTGCAAAGAATAGGAAATGACGTGCCTCTTTCAGGTTGTGCCGCTCTGAGCCTCTGGAGTAATTCAACGCAAGGCAGAAAAGCAAAATGGTCTTCATCATGTTACCTGTTAATTTGCTGTTCAGCCCGTCTATAAGTCTGAAACCTACCATCCCAATGTCTTTGGGAAAGTGTGCCTTGCACACGAAAGCTCATACCTTGAATACAACTTCGTTAGTCTTAAAGGCGCCCCCACGGGACTCTAAATTGGTTCTCCTGCTTCAGACCAACCGGCTGACCACCTGGGACTATCACTCTGCACGTTTTTGAAGCCCCACACTGAAGCCCCACCTTTCTTACGCCAGGAAATGAATAGCCTTATTTTAGATTACTTGTTTACTGTCATCTAGCCATAGTCAAATACGTATCTGTCCGATCAACTTCCGTAGGGAGCTTATGCACATTCTCTAGTGGTGTTCATTGAAATTAATGGGATTTAATTTGTTTAATCATGCCTAGATCATACAGATAGCAGATGAAATGTCAGCCAGTTTCTCCGGCAAGGCGGGTTATAAATTGAAATAATAATAAATAAATAAATGAAATACAAAGCAGTAAAGATCCAGAGGACAGCGTGACAGAGAGAAAAAACAAGTCGTAGCAGCTGTTCTTGGTTTCACGGCATTTTAGTGTTACAATGGAAATTTGAGTTTAGCTAACCAACAAATCTTGGAAAGTCGCCTTTGTGGGGACAGCCATTGTACACTCCTGCTCCCTCCCCCCACTATACAGTAGTAGTAGTAGAAGAAGAGATGGGATTTATACCCTGCCCTTCACTCGGAGCCTCAGAGCAGCTTACAGACTTCTTTCCCTTTCCCTCCCCACAACAGACACCCTGTGAGGTAGGTGGGGCTGAGAGAGCTCTTGACAGTAACTGCTCTTTAAGGGAACAGCTCTGGCAGAACTATGGGTTGCCCAAGGTCAAGTGGAGGAGTGGGGAATCAAACCCGGTTCTCCCAGATTAGAGTCCACACACTTAACCACTACACCAAACTGTCTCAGTAACCACAAATGTTACTTTGCAGCTGGTAGAGCCTTTGACCCCAAGCGGCACCGCACCCAACCAGGCACAACTCAGGATTCTGAAGGAAACGGAGCTCAAGCGCGTGAAGGTCCTCGGATCCGGGGCCTTTGGAACGGTGTATAAGGTACGTCTTCCCTTCTCCAATAATGCTAGGACATGGGCGCACGCAGTGAAGTTTATGGGCAAAAGATTGAAGGTGGACCAAAGGAAGTACTTCCTTATTCAACAAGTAACAAGATTGTGTCATCCGTGGCCACAAGCATAGGTAGTGTTCAAAGGGGGTTGAATGGATTAATGGGGGAAGTGGTCCATCCATGGCCATGGTGACTTAAGGGAAGCCCCACAGTCAGAGGCAATGAGCCTCTGAATCCCAGAGCCAGGGGGCAACATCAGTGGGTAGACTTTAGCCTCTCTGCCCTGTTGTTTGACCTCCAGAGGAACTGGTTGGCCACTGCGTGAAACAGGATGCTGGACTGGATGGACCACTAAGGTCTGATCTAGCAGGGCTCTTCTTAGGTTCTAAGATGAATATAGGTTTGAGATGAAAGGGATACTATCTTGCACTTGGAGACTGCTAAAGCTGTTCCTGTCCGTTAACCAGATCACTGGGCAGTAATATTTTTGGTGGTCTCCAACAGTAATATTATCTCCTTTTTCATCTCAGATGTGCATCCATTTTAGATCTCAGTGCCCAGGTTAGTGTTTAATTCCACTTTTCATGATTTTAAAGGTAAAGGTTTCCTTTGCTCGAAAGCCAGTCAAATCTGACTCTAGGGTGCCGTGCTCATCTTTGTTTCCAAGCTGAAGACCCAGCACTGTCTGAAGACGTTTCCGTGGTCATGTGGCCGGCATGACTAGACTCCAAGGCGCACAGAATGCTGTTACCTTCCCACCGAAGCAGTACCTATTTATCTACTTGCAATTTCTTGCTTTTGAACTGCTAGGTTGGTAGGAGCTAGGGCCAGAGATGGGAGCACACTCTGTCACGTGGCACTCGGGTCTCCAACTGCCGAACTACAGACCTTCCAGTCTGCAGCGCAGCGCCTTAACTTACTGTATTAGAAAAATAAATTTGGCACCCAAGTTCACTGATTTAGAAGCATCCTGGCTAAGCTGTGGGGATAGTGAATAATACAGCAAGGCATGGTCTGTTACTTTTCAAGGAATTGTTTCATAGGTAATGACTACTTGGGTCTATCCCCCCCCCCTTTTCATGATTACAGGGCGTTTGGGTTCCTGAGGGAGAGAGCGTGAAGATTCCTGTGGCAATTAAAATCCTGAATGAGAGTAAGCCGTGGGGATGGTGAATAATACAGCAAGGCATGGTCTGTCACTTTTCAAGGAATTGTTTCATAGGTAATAACTACTTGGGTCTATCCCCCCCCCCTTTTCATGATTACAGGGCGTTTGGGTTCCTGAGGGAGAGAGCGTGAAGATTCCTGTGGCAATTAAAATCCTGAATGAGACCACTGGACCCAAAGCCAACGTGGAGTTCATGGATGTAAGTAGCAGAGACTGTCGTCACAGCGATTCACGTCCTAAAACTCTACAAAAGTTTCATTTTACAATGACACTTTTCTTCTCCCCCCCCACCCCCAAGTAGTAAACTGGATGAAAAAGTTGTCACGATAAAGTCCATTTTGTAACACATTACCGGGGGGAATTACGGGAGGGGGGGGGATTCCGAAAACTTGTCAAAATCAAATGGATTGGAGGTTGCGGCTGATTATCCAGCCGATGGTCATGGACCAAGGGCAAACATTTTCCTTTGAAAACTCCACTCTCATCTGAATTTGTGGGGGGTTGTCAGATACAAGGCCTACAGCTTTTATCAGGTCCAACCAACGAGCCAGTGCTTCTCAGACTTCTTGAACCCCCCCCACACACCTTTTTTGGCCCCCTTCGTCCCGAATCAGCATGAATAATCTGTTCCTTGGGTTGCCAAGTCACTTACCTTGTGTGGCGGGGGAGTCCTTGTACCCCTCCCGGCGTAGCATGCCGCTGTGACACCACCCGGAAGTGACGTCATCACGCCAGGGGCGTCACCGGGCGACGCTCTACCAGTTTCCGCAAAAACTCTATGGTACCATAGAGCTTTTTGGGGCGACTGCTAAAACGTCGCCTGCCGACACCCCCGGCGTGATGACGTCTCTTCCGGGTGGCGTCATCACGCTGGGGGCATAGGCCTGATTAGAGATGTGAAGGCCTGGAAAAACAATGGAAAAAGATCCCCACCGGTGGATTGGGAGCCGTTTGGGTGGGGGTTCCCCCACCCCTGGCGGGGGCTTGGCAAGCCTATCTGTTCCAGGGTTGAGCAGACAGAGTCCCTTATATGCAGTCACGTGCATAGGGCCAGCTCCTCCATCCACAGACTGGACTCCTGTTCCAAACACTGATTTGGAGGAGGGGCAGGGCAGGATACTCTGACCTCTTCCAGTGCCCAGGCACGGGAGAAACTTCCTAAGGAAATGCAGCCCTTCTTCCAAGTTTCTCTGAAATATTGGGCGGGGCCCTCACATGCTCAGATCCAGTAAGGGGCAGAGAGGGTTCTCTGCCGAAGGACATTCGGTACACTTAGGCAGGGGTCATTTTGTAGAAAAAGAGGTGCCAGAACTCATTAGCATAACTCATTAGCATATGCCACCAGGGTGCAACCACTTGCTTCGAGGTCTTTTGCCTCCCTGGAACTTCGCCTCCCCGTTTTAGGCATCCCGTGCTTTCCAAGGGAGCCTGGACCACTATTTTAGGACCACTGCACCAAACCGTCAGTTCTATCTCAATTAGACGTTGTTCATGCAGTTGTGACAAGCCCTTGGTTCTTAAAAACATGTAGGATGTATATGATAAAAAGGTATTGCACAGGTATTGGGAATGGCCATGGCTTGACATGGGGTCAGGAAGGAATCTTCTGGGATGGAAAAGTGGATACTGCAGGTGTGGAGGGAGAGGTATTTGTGAATTTCCTACCTTGTGCAGGGGGTTGGAATAGATGACCCTGGAGGTCCCTTCCATGATGCTATGACATGCAGAAGGTTCCAGGTTCGGTTTCCAGCATCAACAGTTAAAAAGGACCAGGCAGTAGGTGATGGGAAAGACCTCCGCCTGAGACCCTGGATGACCGCCACCAGCCTGAGTAGACAATAGTGACCGTGATTGCTCTGACTCCGTAGAAGGAAGCTTCACGTGTTCATAGTTTCAGAGGGCGGCTTTGTTGGTCTGCGGTAGGACAGCTAGATTCGAATCCAGTAGCACCTTAGAGACCAAAAAGATTTTGGGGACATAAGGTTTCAAAAGCTCTGATGAAGGGAAAGCTCTAATGAAGGGCGGAGCTTGCACTCTCAAAAGGTTATACCCCGAAACTCTTGTTCGTTTCTGCAGTGCTAATGGACTCGAATCAAATACCCCGAAACTCTTGTTCATTTCTGCAGTGCTAATGGACTCGAATCAAGTTATTACACAGGCATATAGTTTTCTCTCCTGCTCCAAGCAAGAAGAAGAAGACAAAGAGAAACAGAAAGAGGAAGAGTAGATTGGATTTATACCCCGCCCTTCACTCGGAGTCTCAGAGAAGCTTACAATCTCCTTTCCCTTCCCCTCCCCACAACAGACACCCTGTGAGGTAGGTGGGGCTGAGAGAGGTCTTTCCAGAACTGTCATTGAGAGAACAGCTCTGACAGAACTATGCCTTGCCCAAGATCATCCAGCAGCTGCACATGGAGGAGTGGGGAATCAAACCCGGTTCTCCCAGATTAGAGTTCACGCACTTAACCACTGCACCAAACTAGCTCATGGAAGCCAACCTATCAAGACAGGCATATTGGCATCCCCAAATATATTTCTGAAGGGGGCGAAATAGTTTTTTGGAGTGTGAAATGTTTGCTGTCGAATGCCCCAGGGACCTCTGGGCCTGCTAGGCCTCATGTCCGAGAGACCAGTCAAAAAAGACCCTTGTATCCCTACCAGTGTTCCCTCTAAGCTGAGTTAGTGTGAGCTAGCTCACAGCTTTCAGCCTCCGGCTGACAGATTTTTGTCTCCGCTCAGGAAGGATGGGGCTCCAGAGCAAACGAATTGATGCAGCAGCCAAATCGCTCGCTCACAACTTTAATGCCAGTAGCTCACAAAGTAGAATTTTTGCTCACAAGACTCCACAGCTTAGAGGGAGCATCGATTCCTACTCTTCATTGCGCTCTTTCATTAAGATGGGAGTAGAAGTCCTCCATGATGGACTGATACTTTTTATCCCCATCACCCCAGGCGCATTTGCATGGAATCCAATTACAGCCCAGTAGAGCAGAACAGCCTCATCCCTGTGTCCCGTGAGTCACGTCCTCCTTACTCAGAGGGAGCAACTTGAAAACCTGCCCCTGTTCAGCTCTGATAGAAAGACACGGGTGTTGGTGTTTGCATAGTGGATCGATGAAAGCTGCCAACATTTATCCTAATGAAAAGCATAAGGTCAGAAGTGCCATAGAGTTGTTAGATATAACAGGACGGCCACTCCCTGATACCCCCACCCCATCTGAATAGTAATAGATCAAGATGGGCGGCCGTGTCCCTCTGTCTGTAGCAGTAGAAAAGAGTAAGAGTCCAGTTGCACCTTAAAGACTAAACAGATTTGGGGTAGTCACTTGAGCAGTGACTCACGAAAGTTCATACCCTAGCACAAATTTTGTTCATCTTTGTCACAGTAGAGCCAGGGAGGCAGGCAGACAGGGGGAGTCATAATACAAGTCCAAAGGTCAGCCGGGAGAGCAGTCAGCAGAGCATTAAACAAGTCCCAAAACACCAGACAAAGCCTCACAAAGTAGAATTTTTGCTCACAAGACTCCACAGCTTAGAGGGAGCATCGATTCCTACTCTTCATTGCGCTCTTTCATTAAGATGGGAGTAGAAGTCCTCCATGATGGACTGATACTTTTTATCCCCATCACCCCAGGCGCATTTGCATGGAATCCAATTACAGCCCAGTAGAGCAGAACAGCCTCATCCCTGTGTCCCGTGAGTCACGTCCTCCTTACTCAGAGGGAGCAACTTGAAAACCTGCCCCTGTTCAGCTCTGATAGAAAGACACGGGTGTTGGTGTTTGCATAGTGGATCGATGAAAGCTGCCAACATTTATCCTAATGAAAAGCATAAGGTCAGAAGTGCCATAGAGTTGTTAGATATAACAGGACGGTCACCCCTTGATACCCCCCCACCACCTGAATACTGATAGATCAAGATGGGCGGCCGTGTCCCTCTGTCTGTAGCAGTAGAAAAGAGTAAGAGTCCAGTTACACCTTAAAGACTAAACAGATTTGGGGTAGTCACTTGAGCAGTGACTCACAAAAGTTCATACCCTACCACGAATTTTGTTCGTCTTCAAGGTGCTACTGGACTCTTGCTCTTTTCACCTGAGTACTGTTAGACTTTCCTGAACATGGTTGGGCCCCGGTTTATTTAGTAACATAACAAGGCTCAGATTTTCTTGGGCTCCTGGAAGGATACTTGCATCATTGTGGGCCCCAAAGCTGACCTGGCTAGCCCGATCTCATCAGAGATCTTGAAAGAAAAGCCGGGTCGGCCCTGGTTATTACTTGGACGGGAGACCACCAAGGAAGTCCAGGGTCGTGACGCAGAAGCAGGCGAAGGCAAACCACCTCTGAATGTCTCCTGCCTTGAAAACCCCGTGATGGGTTGCCATAAGTCAGCGGTGACTTCCCACCACCAGGTACTCGATATACGACCAAACTCACTGGAGATTGCAGGTGACACTTTTCCCCCCCCAGACGAATCCTCCAGCCTTGCCGTGCGACCTCCCTTACAGAAATTGGGTATTTAGTGGCAGCTTCCCGCATAAACAGTGAGCCAAGGGAGGGTTTGAGTGTTACAGAAGACGTCCAGGCATGAGGGGGGCTTCACCGAGGTCTCTGGGACTAACCTTGGAGGCGGGAGGGGACTCATGTGGGGAAAGGCCTTCCTAAGATGTGCTGTTCTGGAAAGCCCCATAGCAGTGCTGCGTGTATTTCTCCTCCCCCGGTAAGAATCTTGATTCAGCTTTCTGAAGCAATATCAGAAATGTCTTTCCGTTCGTTTGATGTTTTGATGGAAGTGTGCGTATGTGTGTGTGCTTAAAATTTGTTCAATCGATCGTAGCCGGTGCGAGAACAGTGGGAACACTCTAGTCTCTCCTGCTCTAAGGATTACTTTCAAAGGAGAGTAGTTCTCATAACCAACCGAGAACCTGTTGGAGACAAATCTTGGTCTGTTGGACGTGTCTTAGAGTAGCTGGCGGACATGTGCTGACGGCTGCGTCACTAACCAGCAAAATGCATGGATGAGAGTGTCGTCTCCGCGCTGGTATAATGTAGGAATCAACTCTCTGGCATCAAAATTCTTCCCAAGCACCAGAATTAGGTTGTTGGGGGTTTTCCCCTCCAGTGCTGGCGAAAATTCTACCCTCGGCCGTCAGTGTGAGTTAGGGGAGTGACTGATACCTCTTGTTACAAATCCCTCCCTCTC